ATCTATGGTAGCCCTAAACGGCGTCTTTATAAAGTCAATGTCATTTTTCTCTCTACAAAAGGCAAGCATTTTCTATCATACCATAACCATAGACTCAAGCCAATGCCCTTTCTCTCTCTACAAAAGGCGAGCATTTTCTCTCATACCACACCCATGTTCTTGGGTTGTACAAAACCAAAAAACCTCAAGCCCCATCCTTTTGGAGCCCTAGGCGGCGTATCTGTAAAGCTAAAGCCCTTTCTCTCTCTAGGAGTCTTTTCTCTCATACTACAACCATGGGAAGCCCTTTCTCTTCGTGGATAAAGAGAAGCACGGGTTGCAAAAAAACAAGAGAAGCTCAAGCCCCATCCATGATAGCCCTAGGGGGTATTTTTTTAAGGCCAATGCCCTTTCTCTCTCTACAAAAGACGAGCATTTTCTCTCATACCACACACATGGGAAACCCCTTCTCTTCATGAATAAGGAGAAGCTCGGGTTACAAGTTTGCTTATTATATGGAATGAATAAAGAGAAGCTCTGGTTGCAAGTTTGCTTATTGTATGGAAGCAAATTGTTTACGGCTGCGAGAGATACATGAAAATCTTTTGGATTGACAAGAGAATTTTGGAATAGTGTCAACTCCATCCAAATAGTCCAGCATAATAATAATAAAAGACGACAATGTTTTTTAATGAAGGATGAAGAAACTTATGATTTTTTTCAATGTGAAGGTTTTTTTATTTGACATTCAAACTGGCCCTAAGTTGCAACCTTGTGCAAACCTCACCCATTTCACTTACGTCCAAAAAAAAATCATGGTAAAAAACAGTTCAAAATTTAAAGAGTGGCCAAAAATTGAGAACAAAGAAGTTATGTTGTTTCCGATTCATTAAAAATTGGGGTTAAGAAAAGGTATATTATGTGTATATTTTTAGGTGAATTTATTTGTGGACAGTAAATAAAAATGATAGCCTATAATAAAACAAAAAAAGGTTCTCTTAATTTAAATAATCAAATACTCTCATTATAAAGTCATTTCACTTTTAGAAGGTAAACTCGATTCACAATGTAAAATTGATTAAGATTAAAATGCTATTTTGCAATAATGAAAATTTGTTTCATGCGGGTTAAACCGCATTCTACATATGGGGTCCAAAAACTGTAAAGCATCCATTTTTACGATGGATGCAAGTAGGTGTTACATCTAAAAATAATGGAAACTAACGGTCCAAATATTTTTGTACTAGAATTGTTATTTTTAGTTTCTAAAATTTATTTATTTATTCATATTCATGATCTCAATGTTAGAGACTACGTGTTTTTAAAAATAAAGTCCAAAAGTCAATCTCAAAAATAGATTTATTTAAGAGACCCACATTTTTACATATGCGAGCTGGGCTGGGCTGCATAGAAATTGAGTCTTGTATTAATCACATATCCAATCGTCAATATTAATTGTGACCATCTTATACCACACGTAAATGATCTCATTATATATTTTTTCATTAACATATTGTTGGCATAAAAATTGAGTCTTGTATTAATCACATATCCAATCGTCAATATTAATTGTGACCATCTTATACCACACGTAAATGATCTCATTATATATTTTTTCATTAACATATTGTTGGCCTCGAGGTTCAAATGCAAGACAAAGTAAAACGTTAATGGAGACAGAGAGAGGTTTTGGTCTTATCAGCCACGAGAAATAACTGCAATTAATATATACGGCTCGACTAATTATTGCCTGGAACCTTATTTTATTACCATGAAGATCACTTGTTCTCACGAGACAACTTAAGCCTTTGCGGGTGGAAACGGGTTGGACCCAGACATGGACCCGAACCGACCCGACCCGACCAGCTTGCTTATAGACCCAGATTGGGTCTAGAAATAATTAAAAAATAAACACATTTTATACATATTATACACATTGGATCCACCCCAACCCGGACTTCACCCATCCTAACAGGATCCAAGTCAGACTGAGGCCCGAATGCGACTGGACCCAACCCGTCAGGTTGAATATATGGACCTGAACCTATACCCGATTCAGATCGACCCTGTTGCTGCCCCTATCTTTGCTTGGAGCTGGCAAAATTTCATCAAAGGCATGGCGTAGTCAACATGCTCAAACAAGGGAAATTTGAAAGATACTTGTGAAAATATTAAAAAGTGTTTTCTTAACCATACTTTTTTTTTTTTTTTTGGGTAATTCATTTAATGAAGACAGACCCTACAAGTGCTTGCCTCTCGTCGTAGGACAACAAAGGGCGGCCAACTTCTAGGCCACGTTTCGAACCATGGTCAAAAATATTTGGGCTTTCTTTTGCCAAAAGGCCCAAAACTCATGCGGCCGAGCTGCCTACATGTAAAAGAAGAATTTCAATTAAATAAGATTTTGTAATGAGAAATTAGAAATGGAGAAAAACAATTTTTGATAAAGTTCGAATCATTTGACCCCTTTTCAGCTAAACCAATGACCTCAATTCAGTTCAACCCAATGTTTTAATATCCAACAATTTTCAATCTAAATCACCGATCTAGATGGGTATCAATCGGGGCCAAACCAATTCGAACATGGTATAGGTCTCTGCCCCGTTTCCTCTAAAACTCACCCTCTTATAATTGTTTTTTTTTTATGTGTTTGTATAATATTTTTTTAAGTTGTTTTAAATCCCACCCCATAAACTCTTACTTTTGTTTTTATTTTATTTTATTTATTTTAAAATACCATTTCGACAGCGGATGCAGACCGATCCAAACCCAATTCAGATCGCCGACTCAGCAATATAACAACTATCTGTCTACTGTATGGATTTTAAAACACCAGTTCAAACTCATCAATTTTTCACCGCCTTTGATAAAACACATGCATCATCCGAAATATCTTTCTCCATCGAAACTTTGCCGAAATTTTTACATCCATGCTAAAGAGATCAGTTAGTTAGCAGGACTCCTATAAGAAGACTTTTGGGACTGATTGACTGGAGTGCTCCGTCAAGAGAAATGACGCAATGCAACCAATCCGATTTCGCCACGTGGAGAGGCTAGGTGGTGGTTCGTGTAGCTAACCAAGATCTTTGGAGCAAGGTGGGCGGACATTCAGGAGCATTCCAAATATATCGATTTCAACGAAATATTAATTAATTGCAATTTATTAAGGACCCGGTTTCTATAAGCCAAGCCCACATATGCAGATATGTGGGCCGCTTAATAAACCTAGTTTTTTAGATAGATTTTAAGATTTAATTTTTAAGGATATGTAATAATTCTAGTAAGAAATATTTGGACTGTTAGTTTTCATTTTTTTTAGATGGAACGCCTACTTGCATCCATCTTTAAGACAGATGCTTTACACATTTTGGACTGTATATATAGAAATGCGGTCCAATTGAAACAATTTTCCATTTATTAAGCCAATACATAAACAGTGTTTTAGACGTGGATTGGTAGAATGGATCATTCACCATATATCCGTGTTGAATTGTTGGATCAATGATCTCAATCGAGTCTGGATAAGTGATCTCAGTTGAGTCTGGATCGGTCCGAATCTGTGATCTAAAAATTTTAAAAAATAAATCAAATAAAAATCCAATAAATGTTTACGGGGTGGGGATCTAGGAGAGACCTAAAAAATATAAAATAAATTTTAAGAAAATAATTAGTGTATGCATAAAATGATCAAGTTTTTATAAGGGCTATGCTTTATGAAAATAAAATAAAGCCTCACCTCAAATCGAGGTCCGGAAAGCACTTTCGACAACGAAAATCTTCATGATGGCTAAAAACAAATTTCCAGCACCAACAATAAAATTTGAAACTCAAAAAATGATACAGATCTTGTGGATCTATGAACACTTATTTTTAGGACGAAACCTACGGTCCAAATATTTATTACAATATACATTATTTTTATAGCTTGAAATCATTTTTCTTTCTTTTTTTCAACCGTAATGTTTGAGTCGAGATTATCGATTTAAAAGTTTTTCATTGCTTGAATAGCATTTTTTGATGAGTTATAAGGTGAGGTTTTGCTTATTTTGATAGAACTGCAGTCCTATCAAACCATTTTCCTGTACACATACTATCCTAGAACCACTAATTCTCGTCCAAATTGGCGATCTGATAAAAAATTCATATCCGAGTTGGCAATCTAGAGAAAAAATCACCCAAGTTTTAAAACAATGCATAAAAACTATGGTTTATGTTAGGGTGCTCACATTATACACTATAGATCATTTTATCATTATACTCAAAAAATTTTGAACACTTATGTATCTTTGTTTTGTACGTGTAGCATTTTTTGTCATTCTGAGGGTGTGATATCATCCGGATATGACATAACCTATGGAGCACACTAATCGTATTTAATGTTCCATGTAAGTGATATCACACCTATGTGAGTGATGTCATATCCCTCCTAATGAGTAAAAATATTGTTACTAACAAATATTGTATTACAAAACAAAAGTGTATAAATCCAAAATTTGTTGAATACAATCTATAATATTAACATCCTAACATAGAAAAATTGTTTCATACGGACTGGACCGCATTTCTACATATGCGGTCTAGAAAGTGTAAAGCATCCATCTTGAAGATGGATGCAAGTACGTGCTCCATCTAAAAAAATGGAAACTAACTGTTCAAATGTTTTCTCACTAGAATTATTATTTTTAATTTTTAAATTTTATTTATTTTTTTATGTTCATCATCTCCATGTTAGAGGTTACATGTTAAATCTTAAAATCCATCTCAAAAATATATTTATTAAGAGGCGCGCATTTCTACCTATGCGGGCTTGGCCGCATGAGGATCATGTCTATGAAGCAAAATTTATTTCTAGATAATACTAAACCATTTTTAAAATTTAAAAAAGGTCAAAGACAACGGACGGTGGAGGGCTTGGATAAACACGCATTGGGGACATCTAATCCCGATATTTCAGATTTAGATAATAATAGTAAAATGAAAAATAGAAAGATTTGAAAAAGGGCATATGATACTCAGTAGTTGAAAGTCATAGACTGAGACCATTTCCTATATTTAATGTCTTGTTTTTTGTATGAATAGCTGCTGCGCTCTTTGAAAACGAGAGAGAGAGAAAGAGGGTTTCTGGATTGGAAAAGAGAGCGAGAGTGGTTTGGAATCAGAGAGCAGAGGAAAAGAAGAGAGAGAAAGAGATGGCGAAGGAGAGAGAAGAAGAGGTGTATGTGGGAGCCATAGATCAGGGGACTACGAGTAGCAGGTTCATTATCTATGATGGCAACGCCAATCCAGTGGCCTCGCACCAAGTGGAATTCACTCAATTCTATCCTGAGTCAGGGTAAGTAGTACAAATCTCTGCATCTCTTTCTCTCTCTAGAAAATGGGTCTGTTTTTTGTGACTCTCTCTCTAGAAAATGGGTCTGTTTTTGTGACTTTCTCTCTCTAAATGGGGGAGAAGAACAGGTGGGTGGAGCATGATCCGATGGAGATATTGGAGAGCGTCAGAGATTGTATGGAGAAGGCGTTAGATAAAGCGACGGTTGCAGGCCACAATGTGGAGAGTGGACTTAAGGCGATTGGTATAACGAATCAGAGGGAGACGACTCTGGTTTGGAGCAAATCAACAGGCGACCCTCTCTACAACGCCATTGTTTGGATGGACGTTAGGACCAGCTCCATCTGCAGGTCAATCTCTCTCTCTCTC